CATTTGTCACTTCCATTATAGCAGTTAACATATACTCTCAGATATTATGTATATAGTAGATACTTTCATCTCCAGAGTCTAATCTCCCTGAGAGCAGGAACCATATTTTACTAAAAAGCTCTGTAGTATGGGTTTGCATGCCCAAGAATGCACACAATCGGTATGTATCCAACTAATTTGCTGAACTGTGGTCAATTCCTGTTCCTTGGCAAAGCCATTTCCTTGCGATTGTTCTTCTCCCATAGCAACAGTACGCCATAGGATATGCAGAGAAGTGGTTCTCATTTCCCACAGGGAAGAAATAAAAAAGTCTGCCCTACAAACACAAGGCATTACCTAGACTACTGAGTCCCAATAAGGAGTCCAGGCCTAGACCAATATTAGAGGCATTTACACAGAGACAAAGATGCAAACCGGTGACATGGCTGCTCAGATAGTGCTGTGGCTCAGGACTCTGCATCAGCAACAACACAGGAGGCAAATCGTGACAGCATTCATTGGAGAATAAATGGAAATTATTTTGAGTATCTGATTGGATTGACAGTGAGGAACTGGGGATTCTTTCTCAAAAACATAAAGCATCTTAACTATCCCGTTCTCAAGATTTGCTCCACCATGTCGTTGTTTTTTTAAATTATATATGCTTGGGTGATCTGTAAAGACGCCCGTCTGGGCGGGCGCAAGCGAAGTTGGCCCAGGGCCCCGGCCTGGGTCGGACGGCGAAACTGACGGACCTGTGCCGGTCCCAGTGACGATGGCGGTATTTCACGACGAGGTGGAGATCGAGGACTTCCAATACGACGAGGACTCGGAGACCTACTTCTACCCCTGCCCGTGTGGGGATAACTTCTGCATCACCAAGGAAGATTTGGAGAACGGGGAAGACGTGGCAACGTGCCCTAGCTGCTCTCTTATTATAAAAGTGATTTATGACAAGGATCAGTTCACATGTGGAGAGACAGTCCCAGCCCCTTCCACCAGCAAAGAACTAGTTAAATGCTGAAGAAGACGTTTAGGTTCTAAAACCTGAACTTGGGGAATGAGGCAAGCTGGAAAAGTCTAATGCAGAGTCACCGGCTTCTTCACGGGGACAATCATTTTGTGGTTTGCTGTTCATGAGAGTCAACTCTTTCCATCGGGCGCCAAGTTCATCTCCAGTTGAAGAAGCAAGTCCACCACATGACATACCTGGATTTTGTGCTTAAACTTTGAACTAGAGGTGTTTGCACCCAAACATAAAAGAAGATAATTTGAAATCAGTGCTTTTTTTCCCTCGGTTTTACTTTTATATCTTTATGACTTCGTTATCTGACCACAGCATCATCTACCTCAAAGCATTAGGTTTCTTTAACTTAAAGATTTTTATTTTGGTCGCTCATGAAGATTTTAAAATCAGCCCTTCTTTGCAGTTTAACATCAGCTTTGCTGCTGTAAACTAAAGGAAGTCAGTTGCCTCTGGTCCATTGGGACTGCACCTTCTACTCCCTCACCGCACTGACCTTCATCAGGGATCTGTGTTCTGTTAAATATGCCATTTCATTATGCTTCATATACTGGGTCCTGGTCGTGGTGCAAAGAAAAAATATACTGAGCTCACAAAGTTAGTGAGTTAAGAAGAAAATTCAAAAAACAAAATGGTCAAAGAACATGGACTTTGCTTATCAATATTCTGTGTTTTCCTTGAAAATCAGGACATGATAAAAAACAGCCAAAGGAAGTGAATCTGGTAACAGGATGAGAGGAGTAAATTATGCCTACTTAGTTATTTAATTAAATGCTTGAGTGGTTTTGTGAGATAAGTGCAAAAAAAAAAAAATTATATATGCTTGAGTTCTGGGACTTAAACAGAGATGCTCTCTATCCCTCAGTATTTCTAACTGAATAATTCAGATCCCCTGGAGATGGAGATAGCAAACCACTCCAGTATTCTTGCCAGGAAAATCCCATGGACAGAGGAGCCTGGTGGGCTACAGTCCATAGGGTTGCAGAGTTAAACATGACTAAAGTGACTTAGCAAGCAACAAAATGAAAATATAAGTATCTAGAAATACTCTTTAAGATAAGTAACATATAGTCATCAGTTTTTAGGTCATCTGTTATTGGCAAAAAGACACGGATTTGCAGTCTGAAGACTGGTATGTTCAAGTACAAGAGTGACTAGGCTCTGTCACTAATCAGCTGTGTGACCCTGATAAAACCTTTACCTCTCTGCCTTTACTGACAAATAAGAATCTATCATAAGAGAACCACCCTGACGATTAAATGTTAAAGATGCTTCACCTGCTTCTGGGTCAGAGCCATGGCAGTGGCAAATTCAAGCCCTGTCAATCCCATGGTATTCTTTGATGACAGCATTGGCGGCCAGGAAGTTGGCTGCATGAAGACTGAGCTCTTTGAAGACATTGTGCCTAAGACTGCTGAGAATTTTAGGCAGCTCTACACAGAAGAATTCAGAAAAGATGGGCTTCCAATAGGATACAAAGGGAGCGCCTTCCACAGGGTCATAAAATATTTCATGATTCAGGGTGGAGATTTTGTTAATGGAGATGGTACTGGAGTCACCAGTGTCTACTGGGGGCTGTTTGCAGATGAAAATTTTAAGCTTAGACACTCAGCTCCAGGCCTGCTTTCCATGGCAAACAGTGGTCCCAGTACAAATGGCTGCCAGTTTTTCATCACCTGCTCTAAGTGTGATTGGCTAGATGGGAAGCTCATGGTGTTTGGAAAAATCACTGATGCACTTTTGGTGATGAGAAAGATTGAGAATGTTCCCACAGGCCCCACCAATATGACCAAGCTGCCTGTGGTGCTCTCACAGTGTGGGGAGATTTAGTCCGAAGGGAGGCCGAATCAGACCCTCTACCTCTGCCTCTGCAGGCCTCCCCATGCTCGGTGTGATGCTCTTGAGCAAGATAACAGGGATTGGCCCCTGTACTGGTTTCCCTGCTGGCTGCTGCCCCATTCGACCGAGAGACCTTGGAAGCATCACAGATTCAGAACCCAAGATCTTGTGTTTAAGTCAACTATAAATAAAGTCATTGCTTTTTTTAATGCTAAAGGTGCTTCATAAACTACAAAGCACTGCACAAACATCAGTCATCTCTTGCACTGGAAGCTCCAGAGCCTGGCATGAGACCTGGCACAGAGCTAGAATTCAAAATTCACAGATTTATGTAAGTAACTGATGAGTTGTGTGATCTCAGGCAACAAAATTCTCTTCTCCTGTACTTCCTCCTCCTCCTCCTTTGATATCACTGTCATCCTTCTTCACTGGACTACACTCATACTGTCCATTTTCTTGTCCTCCTAAACAGCAAGCTTACTGCTGCCTCAGGGCCTTTGCACCTACTGTTTCCTCTGCCTGGATCACTCTTCCCCAGCTCTTTGCATGGACATTCCATTCTCCTCAGTCAGGTCTTAAGCCAAATATCATTTCTTCAGAGGCTTTCTCTTACCACCCTAACTAATGTTCCTCTCCTATCATTCACCTAATATATATTCCTGTTTTATTTTCTCTACCTGTTGACTTTTTACACTCTCCTTCACTAGAATAAAAAACACTACTAGAAATTCCTTGTCTTTTTTAAAATTAATTTATTTGTTTGGCTGTATCAGGTGTTAGTTGTGGCACGTGGGATATTAGATATTCATTGCAGCATGGTGGTTCTTTAGTTGCAGCATGTGGGATCTGGTTCCCTGACCAGGGATTGAACTTGAGCCCCCTGCATTAGGAGTGCAGTCTTAACCACTGAATCACCAGGGAAGTCCCTCCTGTGTGTCTTGTTCACCACTGTATTCCAATGCCCCAAAACATCTAGCTCATAGAAAACTCTCAACAAACATCTGAATAAATAAGACTGAAATAACTTTATATCAAAAGTTTCATTTATTCAACAAATATTTTGTATGCACCTACGAGGATTCAGGCTTTATTTCAAAGTGGTGGAGATTCAGCTGAGAACAAAATAGACAAAATTCCTGCTTTCTTGGGACTTGCCTTCTAGTGGGGAAACAAACCAGATAAAAAGAGAAGTACATGCTATATCTGATAATGTTTTAAGGAGAAAAAATAAAGAGAGCAGTAAAGGAGGATATGAAGTGTATGTGGAGGGGCACACAGTAATGAGACTGAGCCATGATGGTATGTGGGGGAAGTACATTCCAAAACAGGGTAAGTGGGACAGGAATATAGGGGTTGGAGGCTAACACAGTAGCTGATGAGATCAGGAAGGTTAAGAGAATTCATATTTTATAGTACCCTATCGACTAATCCAAGGACTTTGACTTTTACGAAAGAACGATGAGAAGGTTTTGGAGAATTTAAGCATGGAGTATCATGATATGGCTTGCTTTAAGAGGATCGCTGGGGCTGCAGTTTTGGGAATACCTGAAAGGTAAGTGAAGGGACCAGTAAGGACATTACAAATACCATAGAAAGAGATCGGGGCTCCGAAAGACTAGGGAAGGAACAGGTGTGGGGTTGGAAGATTACATTTTGACTTTTGACAGTTATTTTGGAGTGGATTAGGGAGAGTTCTGGCCTAGGCGTCAGCACCTGGAAATCAAATGGTACCTAATATAAAAGTTATCGAGTCCCAGCTCTATCGCTTACTAGTAGCGAACTCGTGAGTAAATCATTCCTAGGTTCTGAGGCTCTGTTGCCCTACTAGTGAAATGAAAAGGATATTTCCATATAACAGGGCCTTCATGAGAACAAAATGAGAAGTGTCAAAAGTTGGCCGCGAGCAAGGTGAGAACCCTGAGCCAAGACCGCACGGCCCTGCCCCAGAGGAGAGGACTGCTGTGGAACGACCGACTTTCGAATCCACCACACGAGCTCTGCAGCGACAAGAAAGAAGCGCGCGTGCCAAAGCCGCAAAGGAGCCTGCGGTGCCCAAACCTCGCGAGATTTCTTGGCCGGGCAAAGTCATCTTCCCAGCCACATCTCGCGAGATCAAGATTCATGAGTGGCTATCGGCCGGTTAGGGCTTGCGGGGAAGATGGAGTATCCTGCATTGAGCACGGTGGAGAACGCGGACAGCGGCGGGGCCCGGTCGTACAACAATTCGGAGGAGCGGGAGGGCCGGGAACCGGATGGGCTGCGCTTCGACCGCGAGAGGGCGCGCCGCCTCTGGGAAGCAGTGTCCGGGTCGCAACCAGTGGGGAGGGAGGAAGGTGAGTCCGGGGGCTTCGGAGGCTGGAAGCCCCTCGCCCGCCTGCTCGTTTCGCGGGGAGTGGCGGAAGCGCGGGGCGGGGACGTGGACCGGCCCCCAGGTCTACGGTCACACCCCCTGGCGCTCGGCCCGCCCCCTTGCGAGAGGCGCCAGGGGACTCCCTGACTCGCGCACCACGCTATGGCGTGGGCGCCGTGGGCTAGCTCCCCTGAAAAATCCAAGCTGCGGCACGCCAAGAATCGCGCGCAGATGGTCAAGGGCCTTCTCACGCTGTGGCCGTGGGCTTCTTTCCCCCGCCTTCGTCACCCACCAGAGTTCATCTCTTCCAGAATTCGAGGACTGGAATCTCTAGACTTGCCGTCTAGGTCATCTCGGAGACCCCCAGAACCTTCCCTACCAGCCTCGTAGCCCCTTCACCGTCCCCGTTTCCAGGTTCACCCATCCCTAATGTCTCTTGCCTCCCTTCTTTCATACCCAACACTTCCGAGGGCTGTAGATGTAGAAGGTCGCCTCCTTACCTCAGTGTTCCTTCTGGACTTGGTGACTGAGTCCTGGCTTACCTGTTTTTTGGTGTCTCTTTTCTTGTGTCCACCAACTGGGTCCTTTTTCTAATACGGGGGCCAGGAGCCTGAGAACCTGGCCAGGGCATTCTTTGGCTCCAGCTTCTTGTTTGTATCCCACGCTTGACCCAAAGTTGAGGAGAATAGAATACACAAGGCCACCTAGGGGGGGCATTTCTGGGCTTCCCAGCTTGCTCTGCACTTGACCTGGCCCTGGATAAGATGGAGATAGAAAGAGGGGAATAAAAAGAGTGGCTGTGACCCTGTTTTGTGACCCACTTCACAGTTCTTAGCAGAGCTAGCTGCTTAACTCTAACCCAGAAGTACACAAACTGGGCTTTTGTGCTAATCCCGTCAGGTAATCTGCAGAGAAATCAGATTTCTCTAAAGATTTGTTTGCTTGCTGAGCAGACTAATCTTGGAAATTAATTTATTGCTTGTGAACTGATTACCATGGGATAAAATGAGGTTTTTGACCACATCCAAGGAAGATATGTTTAAATTTGGGGTGGTACACACGACAGACCTATACCCTGTATATACTTTACCAGTTAAACTAGTCTTGTGTGACTCTTAAATTAATATGAGGCTCCTATCTCCCTCATTCTTATGCTTTCAAACTTGTTTGGCACAGTTACAATTTTCCTTTCACTCATTTGACAAATACTCTCTTCCCAGGATTGGCTGGAAATCAGAGCTGCAGAGATGAAAATACTGTCCTTGCCCTGGAGGGGCTTGTGGTCTAGTCCAGGAAGCAGATGCCAAGACAGTTGCAGTATAATGTAGTGGGTGCAGTAAAGAGGAAAGTCTAAGAGTTGGGGGTACACAAAGAGGAAGTGACCTTTGTCCTCAGGGGACAGAGCAGGCATGCGCTGGACCTTGAAGCAGAGAACACAGCAGCTGTGCTCTGGAAAGTGAACTGTTTATGTGTGTATGAGTGCACACAGTCACTGAAAGACCAATTCACTTCTCTGACCTCACTTTGTCCAGTGATTTGTTTGAGGTCTAGGTAGATAACTATAACACCAGGTCCTACCCACCTTGGGTTTTTTGTTTTCTCTTAGTTATAATTTTTGTTTTCTCATTGAGTTGTAATTTACACACCATAAAATTCACCCATATAACTGTACAATTCAATGATTTGTAGTAAAAGTATGGAGTTGTATAACCCTAGTACAACTTAGAATATTTCCATCACTCCAGTTAGTTCCTTTGTGCTTTTTTTTTTTTTTCATTTCGGAGAAGGCAATGGCAACCCACTCCAGTACTCTTGCCTGGAAAATCCCATGGACAGAGGAGCCTGGTAGGCTGCAGTACATGGGGTCATGAAGAGTCGGACATGACTTTGTGACTTCACTTTCACTTTTCATGCATTGGAGAAGGAATGGCAAGCCACTCCAGTGTTCTTGCCTGGAGAATCCCAGGGATGGAGGAGCCTGGTGGGCTGCCGTCTATGGGTCGCACAGAGCTGGACACGACTGAAGTGACTTAGCAGCAGCAGCAGCATTTATTATTTGGCTGCATCAAGTCTTAGTTGTGATATGTGGGATCTAGTTCTCTGACCAAGATCAAACTCAGGGCACCTGCATTGGGAGTGTGGAGTCTTAGCCACTGAACCACCAGGGAAGCCCCTCTTTTGTGCTCTTTTACATTAAATCCCCACTCTCACCTCCTGCCCTTGGCAACCACTAATCTGTTTTCTGTCTCTATAAATTTGCCCTCTCTGAACTGTTCACATAAATGGAACATATAATACATAGTCTTTTGCATTTTGTTTCTCTCACTCAGCATGTTTTTGAGGTTTAGCCAAATTGTAGTGAGTATTAATACTTTATTGCTTTTTATTGTTAAATAGAATTCCATTGTATGATTCTTGCTTTTTTATCCTCTAATGATCTCTGCCTTTCCAGTGGGCTGTTTAAACTAGTAACATTTAATTTAGTTGTTGATATGGCTAGATTTGCTGTCCCTCCTTCATGACCTTATGAAAATCAGCCCTCTGTTTCACATTCTAGATCTCTCAGCCTCTGCCCCATACGTCTTCTGATTATCTACAATATAGATACAAAATAAATCCTACCAATTAGGTGCTTTCTCATAAGATTTGGAAGGCAGAAATGTGAAAATCACATTCCTAAGACTATTGGTACTATCAAGAAAAATTGTAAAACTATAAGGTCTTCCCACATCAGTGTTCCAGCATCCATTCTCCAGCTTCATAGGTTAAGAGGTCTGTTCAGTGACATGGAGCTTCTTACTTCAGCAAGGCTGCAGTGGAGGCCTCAGTGACTGTAGCTCACATGTTGGAACAGTTTTGCATGCATTGTTCCTGGAGACATTTCCAGAAGGCTCAGCCTAGAACCTTCAGTCTTTCCAATATTTTCTAAGCACCTAATTGCTTGTATCAAACCTGTTCCCTGTGGTAATTGGTAGATGGATTAGAGTTGTATCTGAGCAACAGGGATGCACATTCAGGCCACCTTCTCAGAATTCTGATAACTCATGTAAGTTCTTTTTCCCCTCTGTAGACCTTACTTTCCTCCAGCCTCATGAACTTCTTGCAGATTTTTGTTAAGTCAGGAATTCAGGAAAGGGTTGACTGGACAGTTCTGACTCAAGGTCTCTTTTGCAATTGCAATCAGATGGTGGCTAGAGCTGAAACAATAGTAGATGGAACTTCTGGAGGCTGACTAGGTGTCTTTTTTTTTCATGTAGTCTCAGGGTCTCTCCATGTGATTTCATGATGGAATAGTTAGGGCTTCCTCCCAGCTTGGAAGAAAACTTCCTATGTAGTGGCTTAAGACTTGAAGAACAGTGCTTGCTTTGGCAGCATATATACTAAAATTGGAACAATGCAGAGGAGATTAGCATGGCCCCTGCACAAGGATGACACGCAAATTCATGAAGCATTCCATATTTTAAAAAAAAAACTTGAAGAGCAAATATTCCCAATTTGGTTCATTTTTATAATATGTCTTCCACATATCTATATGTTGCTTAGTGGTCAGCCAGTGATTCAGTAACACCTGGAGCCAGTAAGGCCTCAGTCCTCTGCAGCTGGATCTGTGGGTATGTAGGAAAGGGCATTCAAAGTTCAGGCCATTTTAAAGTCACCCCTAACTTTTACTTTCTGTCAGGCTCTTTTGCATCACTTCTGTGCATGTGAACAACCAGAGTTGGCCAGGAGTATTTAGCCACCTTAGGCCCTCTTAGGTCCCCACTGCCACCAGTCTCAGCCACAGACATGACCAACCTCAGGTTATAGTAGAGCCTTTGGCCTTTGCTGCTCACCTGCCTCTGAGACCATCGCTTCCACTGACATTATCAAAAGATTGGGGCATTGTGCACCACTCCAACTCAAGTAATTTCCTCTTTCATGGGGAAGCTGTTGGTTCTCACATCCTGCCTCTTCCTGGTAGAACCTCTGCTCTTACTGAGTGTGGGAGGTGATGAGAGCAGTCCCAGATCCCTGCTATTCTCATCCAGAGTTCAGCAGATGTACAAGCATAACTGCTTCCCAGATTGTTAAGTGCCTTTGATCAGTTTCCAGAGTACTGAAGGGATTGTTTCTGTCAACTTTGTCCAGTTTTATAGTTGCTCTGGGTGAAGAAGATCTCCTCACTCTACTATAGCTGCAAGCTCCACCTTATACTCATTTTATGTTCAATTTCACTTTATCTGCCTGACTTCTAAATTTGGAGGGTCCAGGACTCAAAAGCCCAGGGGCTTCCCTGGGATTGATAAAGAATCCAGTCCACTCAGTGGTTAAGAATTTTTACTTCGCCTGCCAATGCCGAAGACACTAGGTCAATCCCTGATCCAGGAAGATTCCACATCTGCAGAGCAACTGTGCCTGTGTGGCACAAGTAATGAGGTTGTGCTCTAGAGCCCGTGAACCCCAACTGCTGAGCCCACGAGATGGAACTGCTGAAGCCTGTGCACCCTAGAGCCCGGACTCTGCAACAAGAGAAGCCACTGCGATGAGAAGCCCGCACCCTCCGCAACTGGAGAAAAAGCCCGCACAGCAACAAAGACCCAGCACGGTCAAAATAAATAAATAAATAAGTAACTATTAAAGTCCCAAGAACTCTTTCCTTCTCCAGCTACGTTAGGCATCCTCTTCTAGTCCACCACTTTAAACATGATAAATATACTGATGATTCTCAATTTGTATCTCTAGCTCTGACCTTTCCCTTGAACTCCAGGCTTGCATCTCTAAGTAACTACTTGATATCTCTACCCATGTGTATGATAGACCACTCATGTTTAATATAGCTGAAGGAAAAGTCTTAATTTCCCCTCCAACACTGTCTTCCTCCACTTCTCATCGACTTGTTTCTCAAATTCAAAACCTAGGAGTTACCCCTGACTCCTGTCCTATTTTACCCACGCCATCCAGTCAGAGAAATTGGATGTCATATCTACTTCCAGAACATAATTCCAAATCCATCCACTTTTCCTCATCTCTGCTGACAACCTGCCTGGTCCAGATTTCTGTCATCTGCTGCCTAGAAGACTGCAACAGCCTCCTCCCTGCTCTCCCTGCTTCCATTCCTATTCCCATACAGTCTGCTGACACAATGAACAGACTCATCTTTTCAAAACGTAAGCCATATCTTGTCACCTCTCATCGCACTAAGAATAAAATCCATAGTTCAGACCATGGTTTATGAAGCCTATACTCTTCGGCATTATCTGGTGAGCCTCAAGCTGTCTCTCCCACTTTATTTCCTACCACTGTTCACTCATTCACCATATTGTATCCACAGTGTCCTTCTCTTCATTTCTTGCATATGCCAGACTTATTCCTGCCTCAGAGACTTGATTATTTTATTGAAGTATAATTGATTTACAATATTGCATAAATTTCTGCTGTACAGCAAAGTGATTTTTTTCCACATCATTTTCCATTATAGTTTATCATGGGATATTAAATATAGTTCCCTGTGCTATACAGTAGGACCTTTTTGTTTAATTCATTCGACATATAGTGGTTTGCATCTCCTAATCCCAAACTCCCAATACATCCCTCTCCCACTCCCTCCCCTTGGTAATGACAAGTCTCTTCTCTATGTCCATGAGTCTGTCTCCGTTTCATAGATAGGTTCATTTGTGTCGTATTTTGAAATTCTGCATGTAAGTGATATATGGTATTTGTCTTTCTCTGTCTGACTTCACTTAGTATGATAATCTCTAGATGCATCCATATTGCTGCAAATGACATTATTTCATTCTTTTTTTATGGCTGAGTAATACTCTATTGTATATAGGTGTCACATCTTCTTTATCCATTCATCTATTGATGAACATTTAGATTGTTTCCATGTCTTGGCTATTGTAAATAGTGCTACTATGAACATAGAGGTACATGTATCTTTTTGAATTATAGCTTTGTCTGGATATATACCCAGGAGTAGGATTGCTGGATCATATGGCAACTCTGTTTTTTCAGTTTTTTAAGGAACCTCCATGGTGTTTTCCATAGTGACTGTACCAATTTACGTTCCCACCAGCAGTGTAAGAGAGTCCCTTTTCTCCACACCCACGTGTTATTTGTAGACTTTTTAATGAGGACCATTCTGGGTTATGCATTTTATTAGATATTGGGGATACAAAGTCGTAAATGACATGGTCCTTACCCTGTTTAGTGTCTGGGAATCAGATTCTGAATATCTTGAGAGGGAACCCCATCTCCTTTAATAAAATAATCAACATCCCTAGGCAAGGAGAGGATGACTGGACCTAACATTTTCCCCTTGTGGGCTTTGCATTCTGAGGAGCCTCTCGCCCTCCCTTTAAAAAGCTCTCAGGGGCTTCCCTGGTGGCTTGGTGGTAAAGAATCCACCTGCCAATGCAGGAGACACGGGTTCAATCCCTGATCCAGGAAGATCCCACATGCCACACAGCAGCCGAGCCCATGTGCCACAACTATTGAGCCTGTGCTCTAGAGTCCAGGAGCCACAACTACTGAGCCCGTGTGCTGCCGCGGCTGAAGCCCATGCACCCTAGAGCTTGTGCTCTGCAACAAGAGAAGCCACTGCAATAAGAAGCCTTTGCACTGCAACAAGTAGCCCCAGCTTGCTACAACTAGAGAAAGCCTGCGCACAGCAGCAAAGACCCAGCACAGCCAAAGATAAATATATAAAAATTAAAAAGCTCTGGCCCAGATCTATTCATGGATCCACTTCCTTTTGTTTCTCTGAGGATGGCTGAGGCAGCCAAAGTCTTTCAGAAATATTTACCAAACACTGTAGGAGAAAAATGGGGAAATAAATAAGGGACCCAACAAGCAGAAATATAGCCAGACAATACCCCTTCTTCCCAAAAGGGCTATTACAAATAAGCTTTAGTTCTTGTGGGAGAAGTACTTTAAAAGCTCCCCACCAAGAAGTACCTTAAAAGTTCCCCAATAAGAAGTACCTTGAAAGTCCCCCACCCAAAAGTTCCCTCCAGGAAATCTTGTCCACTTTTTGATCTAGAGTAGAAGATAAAAAAGATGGATTTTCCATCTCATCATGGTTTTCTAGACTTACCCCTGCCTCAGATTATCAATGTCATGATGACAGAAACGTCTGGAGTGAGATTTCACTCCCTCCTCAGAAAGTAAGGCCTTGTTTTTCAGGTGTGACAATTAAGCACAGGTTAAAACTGTGGTTTCCTACAGTGTGGAACTTACATGACATGTTAAGTAATTTTAGATATTTCAAAATCAGATCAAGAACAGCAAGAGAATTATTTCCTTTTCAAGTCTTTCAATCCTTCCATTTCTACCTGAAAAGACATCTCAGTTGGTTGCTACCATGTCTTAACACCTCTCCTCCCAGTTGCCACTCTATTAATGTTCCTTTTAGGGAGCTCTGCAAGCTTCTCACACCAGTATCTAGCTAGAATTATTTCCTTTTTAATGTGTTCATTTTTATTGGTTTTTACTTAAGTTTGTAATTTAAAGACTCCTTTTTAAAAGAATTTAGTAAAAAAAGTTGGCCTACATAAAATTATAAAGTAAGTTACAGGTTCGGTGGCACAAGAATATAGCCTGAGTCATGAAAGCCCTTAGGGGAGGGGTGGCAGATTTAACAGTATGGCATTCCATTATTCAGTGCCTGCATTTGAGGCAGCGTTCAAAGACAGTGCTATTGAGGCAGGTTTTTAACTCACACAGCTTTTATTTTCCTCTCTAGTGGAACACATGATCCAGAAGAACCAGTGTCTCTTCACCAACACCCAGTGTAAGGTTTGCTGCGCCTTGCTCATTTCTGAGTCTCAGAAGCTGGCACACTATCAGGTATGCCCTTGTACCTTAGTGCTTTCTAGACCCAATGCCAAGCCTGCTCTTTTCTCTGCACAGTGAATTCCTTCTTAGCCGCCCAGATGTTGCCTCCATGCATGTTGGCTTAATTTTTGACTGAGTCTTAATTTGACTGATTGTCTTAATTTGACTGATTGACTTAATTTTTCTGAGTCTCATTTCTCCATCCAAATCAAGATCATTGTACTTATATGTTCCCTTACAGCTTGGTATAGTAGAAAGTCTATGCTTTGGCTTTAAATAAACCTGTAGTCGAATCACAACTCTGCTACTCATCTTGGTCAAGAAACCTCATTATCTTCAGCCTCAGTTTCCTTATCTATAAGATTGAGATGATGATAATTTTCTCATAAATTTTTATGATTAGATTGGGCAGCATCTAAGTACCTTATAGAAAGTAGGAATTCAACAAAATATTTTTTCCCCCTACCCTCTCCTCAAAAGTTTCTGTGAGGATGAACCACTGAAAATCTAGTAGATATTTTTGAGTGCCTTAGGTATGAAATGGCATCTGGGTATCTTTGATCTTTTTCCTGGGTTCTTACAGAGCAAAAAACATGCGAACAAAGTGAAGAGATACCTAGCAATCCATGGAATGGAGACACTAAAGGGGGAAATGAAGAGGCTAGACTCAGATCAGGTAATCCAGCTGCCATGTTGAGACCACTCGCTTCCTGATGAAGCCAGCAGGCAGGTTGGTGTGGTGGAAGGAGCGTGGGCTTTGAGTCAGACTGACTTGGCTTCAAATCCCGGCCCTGTTGTGTGACTTGGTCAAGTCTTGATCCTTTCTGAGGCTTGATTTCTTCCTCTGTAATAATGAGGATGCTAATATCAACTACCTTTTAGGATCTTTCTAAACAAAAATGAAGGAAGGTTTATTAAAGCACCCAACACAGAGCCTGGCACATAGTAGGGGCTCAGTAAATGGAGCCAATGTTATACATTACACCGAATGGCTTGTTAGAGTAGGACAACTGTCCATGCCCTACGCAAGAAGAGAAAGCGGAAGGAAACCGGAATGCTTACTTTCTTGAGATCCAGTGGAAGGAACTGAGTTTAGCCCTTGAATATTGGGAATAAACAAGTAGAAGGAACACTTTTCCAAATTCTTGCTCTGATCAAGGTGTAAACATGTTTGCTTTTGCCTTAGCAATACTGTGAGAATTATGCTGAAACAACCCCAATCCCTCAGGTGTACCATTATTTTTGTTCCATGGCAGGCTGTGCAAATACTATGGGAAGAGAAGTCAGCAGACTAGGGCCAAATACTAGCTCTACAACTTACTGGTTGGGTGATCTTGGACAAGTCACTTAACCTCACTGTAGAGAGAATAGTTGCTACCTTGTAAGGGCATTGTGAAGTCAAATTACAATTCCTAATGGATGTTCAGTGAGTTAGAGTTTATACGACAAACTGTGCCTCCCTATCACAGCGGCCACAGGATTGGAAGGGCCTTGCTTATCCCTTCTCCACATTTCACTGGACTAACCCCCTAGTTGCCCTCCTTATGATGTGGAATTCAGAAAGGCAAGATCAGCTCTGTGGCTCTGGGCAAGTCACTTCATCTCTTTATATCTCCAATCCCTCAACTCTCGGAGTGGTCCAGTAGTTCAAATGAGATCACAGACTCCTCCCCATCCAACAAAGAATGATTCAGCCCCAAATGTTAATAGTACCAAGGCTGAAAAATCCTATCTTTTATATGAATATTTTATTCAGAGAGCAGACCTGAAAGAGATCCTGGAAGCCCTTAATATAGGCTTGAAATACATTGTTTTCTAGCCCAGTCATAATCATCAAATAAAATCCAATGGTCTGCTTGTTCAGTAAACCCTCAACATCTGCTGTGTGCCAGTCTCCACCAGGGTGCTAAGGATAGGAAACACAGATGAGTCTAACGGTCTTTGCCCAGATGTTGAACTTTAGTCCACAGGAAAGTCTCCTAAGCTATGACACTGTCAGTTTAGGGTGACACGTGGTATGATAGAGGTCTACTTAATGTATTCCAGGAGTATAGAGGAAGAATGAAGTTAATTCTTTCCGGAATAATCACACAAAGCAGGTTGATAATTCTTTACTGAGTAATTTTCTTGAGTAAAGTCTCTCAGAAGAGGTGATCAATTTAATCTGGGCCTTGAAGGCTAAGCAGACATATGCCAGGCAGGAAAGAAAGGAGGATCATTCTAGACAGTAGGAATGGCCCAAGTAAAACACGGAAGTAGCAGAGAACAAAATGGGGAATGGTGAGTAGCGCATGGGATGAAGTAGCTCAGAAAGAATCCAGAAAGGTAGGTTGGGGTGAGTGTGTGAAGAGGGCCTTGAAGGCCCATTCTCCTACGGGCAGTGGGGAACCAGTGGAGATTTTCCGGCTGGGCAGTGGCGTGATCAGACCTGTGTTCTTTCTCCTAACCAGAAGAGCAGCAGAAGCAAAGACAAGAACCAGTGCTGCCCCATCTGTAACATGACCTTTTCCTCCCCTGTCGTGGCCCAGTCGCACTACCTGGGGAAGACCCACGCAAAGAACTTAAAGCTGAAGCAGCAATCCACTAAGGTGGAAGGTACTGGTTTTCCTGAGCGGTGCTATATCGGGACCCCTCCCGTCCTCAAGGCACCAATGCCAGGTGCTCCCAGAAATGCTCACTGGGGCCACAGACTGGAAGAGGTTGAACTGCTTTTGAGAGCCCTTAAAAATATCAGAGTAGACACAGCTTCATTGAAATGCAGTCTCAGAGTCATACTCACCTAACCTTCCTTTCTTTGGTTATATCAGTCTTTCTCTATAGAAGCTTCTTAGCCCTGAGCTTTTGTCCTGACAAATAATTATAACTCAGGAGTGCCCAAGTCCTCCAGGCTATGCACACCAGGAGAGCATTCTATCTCCTGCCTCTCTCAGTTAAATTTTTTGCTCCTAGCATCCACCTGCCCTTATTACCATGTATTCCAAGTTAAAAGTTAGATTCTTGTCTTTTTTGTGTGCTCAGGTTATGCCCTGTTCACTTTAATCCTCAAAGCTGCCTGTTCTCTAGACAAGGACTTGCCTTTCAAAACTAAATACTTCAGCACTGCCATTACTGCCCAACAAACAGTGTTTGCAACTGCCATGAGTTCATTCCCAGTGCAGTGACTTCTAAAATAACCCCCTTTATCTTGTCACCACTGGGGCTCAGCTTTCACTTTCATCTCATTAACTGCTAACTTTTTAGGATTTTACATCTCTGCTAACTGCAGTTAGTCAAGACTGAAGGTTCTTTGATCTTTATTTCATTTTTTTCTAAGTAATTTTTCTTCTCTATTTTGGACCAAGAGGTAGACTATAATATCTGTAATACTTGTCCTTTTTTGAATTGCTGTATTATGAAAACAAGATAATTATGTTTTAGAAGACTTTGAAGAATAGGGTAAAAAAAAAAAAATCACTCATAATTATACTGTCTTACCACACCCAAATCTAGTATTCTAGCAATGAAACAACAGATGAAGTCATGGATGCCCAAGTTTAAATCCTGGCACTGCTATTTACCATCTGTATGACTGACCTTCTTCATGCCTGAGTTTTCTCACCTATAAAATGTTGATAATATCACCTACTTCATAGGTTATGAGGATGAAATAATGTATATAAGGGCCCTGAGACATAAAGATGTTCAATAAATGACATTTTAGGATGTTTTGTTTTGTTTTGTTTTTGGGCCGTGCTGCACAGCTTGCAGGTCCTTCGTTTCCCACATAGGGATTGAATCTGGGCCCCAGCAGTGACAGCGCCAAGTCCTAACCACTGGACTGCCAGAGAGTACCCAGCAGGTCCTATTGTCAGTATTATCAGCACAGTCAAGATAGTGAGTGGAATCCCCACATAAAATGCAATGGTTGATCAGGCATTCACCACCCAGAGCATGTCATTGGCCTTGCTTCTGATTTGTTCATCATTAAGTTATACTAGTACTAGTTGCTTTTTTGTGAAGTCAGTGTAGGTACCATTTATGGTACCAAAAAGATTAAACATTAAGCCAAAGGAAACTAGCTTAAGAACAGAACTTTATAAGATCATTTATCTTTAGATTTATATGAACTTGTCTTTCCATAAATGGGAAAATTCCCTGGAATATTCCTGGTCCAAAGTTTCCATATTGAAGAGTTTATTTTTCATATTTACTTTTGGCCCTTGCCACATAACAGATGTGTTTTTATATAGTTATAATCATAGTTCATGTACCATTTGTATCCTGCTTTAACTTTTAATTTTGTAGTTAGAGCACATTTCCATGTTACACATGAGTTTATAACTATATTTCTGAAACTAAACATTTCTCTAATGTAAAAGTAATACAAGAATATTGTAGAAAGTATGGAAAATATAGATAAATGGAAAGAAAAATACCCATAATTTTTACCATTCAAAGACAACCACTGTTAACATTTTGGAGTACTGTTTCTCCTATAATCTTTTGTTACGTGTATGTGTGTATATCTGTGTCTATATTTGTTTTATGTATGTCTAGATTATGTATATAAATGTAAAATACTTTAACCTTATTGTTTTTATAAAAACAATGCATACTCTTCGTTGTTACTTCTAGTTCAAACAGTGCAAAAGGTACAAAGAGAAGAGTAAATACCACCCAAATCCTACCACCAAGAGAGAAACACTGTTAATATGTTGGCAGCATTTCAAAATACCAGTACACACATACAGATCGCACATATGTCTTTTAGTAATGATATGATCATATTGTGTATATAATTTTCTTTTATACTCTTTTCGCTAATAGAACATTTGTATTTCTCCATGTTAAAAAGTTTTTCATAAACATTTTTAATGACAATATCCCATTGCACCACATTCATTTAACCATCCTCTAATGATGAATATTTATGTTTTCTTCCTCTCCTTTGTTGGTATTTATAAATAACACTACAGTGAACAGTCCTGTAGAATTCTCTTTCTATATTTCAAGTTGTTTCCTGAAAGAAGACTCCCATAGCCCTCATTTTTATTGGATGTCCATTAAGTGGTTCCTCCAACTTTAATTAACCATTCACCTCTGATGTTCTCTTTAGTATCTTTTAAAGAATGACCTTTATGTTTTAATGACTATGATTATCTCTTCTGATATAAAAAATCTACATTCACTCTAGAAAAGGTGGAAAATACTGAGAAGTATCTTTTTACACAATGCTCTTGGTGTTTCTCTGCACATTACCAGTTGTTTTACAGAACTAAGGACAAAAGAAATAGTTTACTATGTAACCTGCTTTTTTTTTTTTCACTCAACACCACATACTGTATATTTTTTCTTTTATTGAATATTCTGCAACATGTACATTACTTTTCCAGTGACTTGTTGAAATAATGACTAAGGAAAATTAATAGCCAGGGGAATTAAGAGTCTCTGTACTGGAAAACCATTGTAGGAAAAGCCAGCAACTTTCTTCTGGCTTGTTGAAAATCCTCAAAACTTCCCCCATTGAAGTGGAAGAGATGAAAGAGCATCTGTGTGTGTGAGTGCTGCTGAACCCCACCCCTCCTCCACCATTGGTGGGGGTTCTAGGCCACATTCTTAAAGCAGTGGTTACTGGATTGATACCATTCCAGCCATGTGGGCTCATTAGTGAGCCATGGCATCCACTTTTTAAAGCAGCAGTGCAGCCTATAGTCAGGACATTTGTTGGCCCACAGGAGGCTCACACATATGTCCATACCAGGCTCTGATTAACTGAATTCATAGACCCGAGCCAGGGGTGTTTTCTGTAGGTAAACACATGGGCTGTAGCCTTCTTGTCTCCCTGCCACACTCTGGCAGCCTGGCATAGCAAAGAGGGCATGGTCTTTAGGATCATACAGACCTGGATTCACTCATTAACTGAGTGATCTTGGGTAAGTCATTTCCCCCTTCTAAGCCTCGGTTTTTCTCTGTATCATGGCAAGATGATACCTACTGCAGAGCATAATTCTGAGGACCAGAAGAGAAAATATATATACAAAGCTCGTAACTAAATGTCAGTGTTATTCTCCTCTCCCCTACTCAGCCTAGAAGGCAGTGTAGCTTAAAAGGCCCCCTTAGTGTGGTGCCTTTTCTAAATGACCCTCTAGACCCTCAGGATGTACATCTGTGCATTGCATCTATAACTGGGGTACTTTAAGGATAGGAATAAAACACCCACATTTCTTGTTCTATGTGGTGTGACATTCTGGGGAGTTCTGAGGGATAAAAAGACTGCAAGCATGTACATCTCTCATCTATTTTAATTTGGCAGATGGGTAGCAGAAGTGCAGAACCTCCTTGGAATATGAGAAAATAGGGATTCATGTGCCTAAAGTAGTTTAAGCTGCCAAACAAAGGAGCCAGTCTTTGGGTTCTTCTCAATTAGAGAAGATTTTCACTGTGTGATTCACACAGGCAATGCCCCATATGCAAGTGTGATTAACTAGTGACCCAGCCTTTCTTTGCATTCAGCATACATGAAAGCCTGGCACCTTCTGGGTTTTTTCATTGTTTCTGTTTGAACTTTCTCACCACAGCTCTGTCGAAACGCCTTACAAACCCTTTCCTTATGGCCTCCACCTTAGCCTTGCACCAGAATAGAGAGATGATAGACCCAGACAAGTTCTGCAGCCTCTGCCACGCGACTTTCAATGACCCTGTCATGGCTCAGCAACATTATGTGGGCAAGAAACACAGGAAACAGGAGACCAAACTCAAGCTTATGGCACACTACGGACGGCTGGCTGACCCTGCTGTCACTGACTCATCAGGTAAGGGCCTAGCTCACACCCAGAGCTGATTCAGGGCTTGACTGCTAGAGCTCCCTGGACCATCAAAGGCATGCCTTTCCTCTTTAGGTCTTCTGAAGCAAGCATTGCAAATTCAAATGCTTGCAAAAGCTAGATGGGAAATTTTGATAAGTGAAAAAGCCAGGAAGGGGTGTAGTCAGCTGAAGAGTTCGTGCCCCTCCTAGGCAGTGCTAAACATTTGTTACCGTATCTTTCAGTTTTTCGAAAGCCTCTGGAAGCCAGACTTACAGCTGACCCTCTTTTGCTCTAGTCCCTGCCCCTCCTTTACTTGGTCCTGCCTGGCCATTCCCTCTTTGTCTCTTTTTTATTGGCAGGATTCAGGCACTGCAGTGTTTCAGGCTGCTTATCTTAACTTGTATCCATTCTTTTCTTTATCTGTATTCACCCTCCTCCATTTGTCTAAAGCTAAATTACCCTGTTTAATCCTAGAACTGTATCCTAGATATTTTTTTCTTGCCTAAATCATCTGATTTCTTTACAGATCAACTAAATTTTTTCATGAAAACCTAGGTGGGGGGAAAGGATATCACATCCCACTTTGATATTAATGTATACAGCATAATTTGATTCCCACAGCATTTCTATAAAATGTGATTTTCCCAATTTACAAATAAAGAAGATGAAATTCAGAGTGACATGCTCAGGTCTTACAGCTGATATGACCTGATGTTAATAAATGACAGCATCAGTTGGGGTCTCTAGCTCTGTCTGATTCCAAAACTTAAGCTCCTTCCCCCTGCCTCCAGCTTTGAGTGTACTTGGCTGGAGACGCTCCAAGTACAGGGTTTCAGCAGAAACATCGAACTGACTCTGACCCCCTTCTTACTTACAGAGGTGGGGTGTTGACCTAGGATGTGCAAGCAGGGACTTCCACTGACAAGACTTCTGCCTTCCTAAATGATTTAGGTTGTTAGCAGCTTGGCTTTTTTTCCCTGCTGGCTTCAGTCCACCCTTGTTCATTCATTCTTTCAGACAGTCATCCTGCACTTACCAATAGCTGCCATAGTCTAGGCCTTAGGCTAGATGTTCTTACATGTTATTACCTGATTTAATCCTCACAGCAACTCTGTTGTGCACATTTGATTATTCCCATTTTACAAATGAGGACATTAACATCAGAAAGATGAAATGGTTTGTTCTGGTTCCCATGCTAGACTGTGGCAGCCAACACTGAAATCCAGGTAAGATTCTGTGTTAGGTCCACAGAATAGTTTCCATGGGGTTTCTGGCATGTATCATGACAAGTATGGGTCAAATGTGAGATGACCCAGAGTGTCCAGATGTCTCCCACCAGGGTGAGATGCAGCATCTACCAAGCAGATTAAACAAGACTTGGAGTTTGCTTTGTACTCCAGGCCCACATTTCTCTCATTTACTCAAGAATGCCAAACTAAGCCCTCGTATCATTCAGGTAGCCAAATCCTTCCAGTTACTGGAGCTCTCAACATCCCTTCTGGGTTACTGGAATCCTCTTTTTCTGTACCCCCCATCACCTTCGCTCCCTTCTTTAGGGCCTTGCCTCCTGCACAGATCAGGTCTGCTTTCTCTGCCCCGTTCTGATCCCCTAGTTGGCAGGATTCAACCTCTGTACATGGGACAGGCTTTCAGGTCTATTCATTTCATATAAAGTCAAGAAACGTTTGTTGAGCTCCTTCCTAATATACACCAGGCATTGTGTATATAACATATATTAATTACATGTCCATGTTCTTACGGAGCTTAGAGTCTAGCGGAGCAGACAGGCATTGAGCAATTAACTACAAGTGTGGCAAGCTTTAGAAAAAGAAACAAATGGTATGCTATGAAGATAACTTAAGATGGAGGAGCAAGGTACAAAGGCTCCCAGAAGCAAAAGGGATAGTGTGGGGCAATATGATGCTGGGGAGATGAGCAGGTGTCCAATCATGGCATTGTAGGTCATGTTTGAGATTTGAGCCTTTATCCTAAGAGCATTGGGAAGCCATTCACATCTTCAGCATTATTAATTAGAGCATTCTAGTTACAAAGTGGAGAATGGTTTAGAATGAGGAGGAAGGACAGTGGAGAGAGACAAACAGTGAGGCTGTTGCAATAATTCTTAGTGGAGAATATGGGAGCTTGGACTAAGGTAGCATTGGTAGAGATAGTCAGGAGTAAATGGATTCAGGAGGTAGGTAGGAAGTAGAATTGGCCATCCAATGTGCAATCAAGGAAAGCAAGCAGTCAAGGTTTAGCCTTAAGCCACGAGGTGAATAACCAGGTTTTGGCAGCCTGAGTTTAAGATACCCGTGAGATATCCAAGTAGGAATGTCCAAGAGGCAGTTGGATATATAGGTGTAGATCTAAAAGAAAGGTCTCGGTTAGAGATACCACCATTTTGGTGGTTAGAAACTGCTAAATTTTGGTTGTTTCATATGTTTGAAGCTAATAAGTGGTACTTGAAATCAGGGAAATGAATGAGATCCCTTAGAGAGTTTGGAGAGAAAGGAGCAAAGGGCCTAAGATTGAGCCCTCTGAAAATTCTGATATGCTGTAAACATGGATGAACCTTGAGGATATTATGCACAGTGAAATAAATCAGTCACAAAAAGACAGTTCCTATATGATTTCACTTGTACGAAATATCTAGAGTAGTCAAACTCATAGAAACAGAAAGTAGAATATGGTTGCCAGGGATTAGGAGAAGGGAAAGATGGAGAGTTTAATGGGTGTAGATTGGCAATTTCATAAAAATGACAAAAGTTCTGCACAGTAATGTGAATTACTTAACATGATGAAAACACAAATTTCTCTAACCCAGAACTGTCCTTTAACATTAACTGAATTGGACACTTAAAATAGATTGGATGGTAAACTTTCTGTTATTTGTATTTTACCACAATTTAAAATAGTAAAAAAAGAAAGAAAGAAAACCAAGTTGAAACCTCTGAAACTGGCAATAGTAAATGGTGGAGGTCAAACAAGAGACAGCGAAAGTAACTGAGAAGGACCAGCGAAGGAAAGTCGAGTGTGGCATGCCGAAAGCAAGGGCAGGAGATGGTGGAGGGGGGCTTACCCATGCTGTCAGGCGCTGTTGAGGAGCCAAATACTAAAAGGTTGCATAAGCATCCATTTTGTCCATTAAGTTTAGATACAGGGAAGCCTCCATTGGCCTCAGAAAGAGAGTGTATGTGTGTAGGGGGATAGGTTGCAGAATAATTGAGAGACAAGGAAATGGAGAAGCAGTTGTAAACAGGGCTTTCAAAGTCTTGGCAGTAAAAGGGAGGAGATACAGGTGCTTTTCCAAATAAATCAGATGTTTTAAAATGAGCTCTAGTGACTTATTCTTCATAAAATCACAGGGGGAAACCGGAATATCAAACATGTCAAATGAAAACCAGATAAAAATGGATGAGTCTGAGTACTGAACAAAGCTGCTTTTTAGAAGCACCAATGAATTCTTCACTTACCCCAAGTGATGATTTGAATCTAGCTTACAGATCAGTATACTCTGCAGTGAGATGTACTTTGCATAGGAAAGTCCAGAGACCTGTGGTGCAGAGGAAAGGATGGGGGCTGCACAGACCAGAGGGCAAATCCAGCTCTTATCCCAAGTCACTTAACCTCCCTGAGCTTGCTTTCTGCTCTGATAAATGGAGAACACCACCTACCTATCTTCCAGCATTATTATAAGAATCCAAGGGTATAAGTATCCAAAATTTTGTCTTGGCGCTTGGTGTTTAATAGATGATGAGTGAGCTGTTGTAGTCTGGGCATCAGTGACTCTTAACCACTGGTGGTCATTACCCCCACACCAGCTCCCGGCTCCACCCTGGGCCTTGCAGGGATGGTGGTTCTGCTAGTCCATTATGAGTCTTTTGCCTGTTCATGTTGAACATGAATTCTGGCCTTCAGTGTCTAAAAAAGACCTAAATTCTGATTTCAATAATTTTCCCCTTAAATGCTTTAAAAGGATATGTCTTCCAGGAAATACCTGAAGATACAAGAGAAACAAAGGTAGCTGGGAACACTGGCTAGCTTATTGAATTAGAGGAGATTGTTGGTGTTCCCAGCTGCTATGGAAGGCTGGTTAAAGGATACTCTCCACTTTTTTGCCAGCATCACTCATGGAACCTATAAGAGTGAAATACAAATAAGCCAAAACCTCATACTTGCTGGACACTTAATATGTGCCAGTTACTTTTATTTGAATGATTACAATAACCTTATAAGGTTGATACTAATATTAACTGCATTTTATAGGTAGGGAACCTAAGTCTCAGGGAAGCCCCACTTGTACACATCTCAGAGAAATTAAGTACCTAGCCTGTGATCCTACAGGTGAGAAATGATGGAGCTGGGGTTTGAACCTCGGTGATCTCACTCCAGAGTGTGAGATTTTAGGACGGCAGATGACAAAAGGTGTGTCAAAGGGCTCGTGAAGTCATGTGCACAGTGGCCTGCCTTGTGCAGCTGGCACCAGGCATGCTGGGCAAGTAGAGCCTCGTAGTCAGCCACTCCTGTTTGCCATTCACTAACTGTGTTCGTGGACATGTGACCATGCCTTATTTTCTTCCTCTGTAAGAGAAGGATGGTTTTCATGGGATCCTTATGAGCATCAATCAAAATAATATGAAGTGCATGACTATATCAGGCACTTAGTAAATAATAACTGCTTTTTATTGTAAGTATTATGGGTATGGTATAATTGGTTTATAGTTGAGAAAAGCTGAGGATCAGAAAGGCAAAGGGATTTAGCCAAGGTCACGTGAATGCAGAGCCAGGAGTCCAGCCCCATTTCTTGGCTCCTGACCCATGCTCTCTCTGCTAGACCATGTGAGGAAAGGCCACTTTGTCATTGGAGCAGCCCTGTTAGTGAGAAAGGGTATCTGTGAGCCCCACGGTAGAGAGACAGATTAATTTTCCTTATAGGTCTTCTCATTAATTACTGTTATTGCAAGCCCAAGGAGAGGGCTGCCTTCCCAGAGATCTCTCATCTAAGGGCACAGTCAAAGGGGAAAAGACAGTTACGCCAAATGTCACCTCTTTGTTCTATCAATCATTTATTTCCTCAGCAGATAGCTACTCTGGACCAGGCTCCATGCTGGGACTAAAGGTACAGGACAGGGGGCGGACAAGGAGGTTCTCAGCTCCAGGGAACATACAGGCATACATGTGCCCCTGATCATTGAGGCCTCTGGGATTCTTACCAGGACCAACAACCTAAGCTCCCTCCACTCTACCATCTTCAGAAGAGCATTTGCACATGCTGTCAAAAGCACAGAGTCCCCAGGTCCCTTCTTATTGGGTTACTAAGCATCTTGACTTTTACTTGTGTTTCAGCCGGGAAGGGCTACCCCTGCAAGACATGCAAGATAGTGCTGAACTCCATAGAACAGTACCAAGCTCATGTCAGCGGCTTCAAACACAAGAACCAGTAAGTAATCACACTTTGAAATTCATGGGTCTGCAGCAGGAGCTCAGGGCTTCCAAATCAGAACAAAGCCAGGTATTCCTTGGCTTAAAAGGAATCCTGGCAGTCTTCTTTTTAGTTAGCAGAAGCTCCGTCAGTCAACAGAAGTATCCCCTATGTGAGTTCTCCTGTCAGCTTCTCCCCAGCCTTTAGATCTGTTGAGCTGAAGGTTTTAGTAGAAAAACATAAATGATTCCCTTAGTGGTCTCCTAAATTTTTTGGCAACATGTTAACAGTCGAACTGGGGACACTCCCCAACCCCAACCCACCACTGGCTTGAAGACCCTAGTCTTCACTGCCATTAGTTCTGTGGCAAGAGCTCCCTCTACAGGTTATTACCAAATATGACCAAGTCCTGTCCTTGATCAAATACTGTACACCTCTGAGTGGTAGCCCAGACAGATCCAGTCTGACAGACTCAGTCCCTGCTCTGATAACCTAACATTCTGATGGGAGGAGACAAAAACAATGACCATGCAAACCACCAGTAATTACAAATGGTGATAAGGGAAGAGACTTAAAGGGAAGAGTTGTCTGTTTGTAATAATCTTGAAAATGACTCACATTCTTTGGTTGAGCTTCTGGTCTGTTGCAGGCCATATGCCAAGCAGATTCTCTCGGTAATCCTCACAATAGTACTGGGAGGAAAGGGTTATTATTCTGATTTACAGACATAGGCGACCACCACTCAGAGTGGTGTTATGAGGCAGAGCTACTGTTCACACTGAGGCTTGGCAAGCTCACAGCATGCTCCTCCGGGGCAGTGCTGACCAGGGAGTTGTGGCGCCATGTGATATGAACAGGCCAGGTCCGGCTGGGAGGGCTCAGATGGTTCAGTCCTTGCTTCTCCGGGTAGTGTGGACGGTGTGCCACACATAACCTTCAGAGATAGGAATTATCCCTGTTTTACAGATGAGGAAACAGTTTCAGGCAGATCTGCTGAGATGACTGCTTTGACTTTGGTGACTGGCTCTGCATTGCTTACAGGGCCAAGTGAATTAAAGGTGGTAGAAGTACAGAGTATTAGGCTCAAAACGTTCTTGGTCCTCTTCTTGGTCCTCTCTACTCTGCCTGAAGTCTCCTCTCCCACACTGTGGCTTTATTGATAGATATATCTTTAACTGGGAGAACTCGTGAGGCTCCCCTTAGATATGGATTCGAGGCAAGCCCTCGCAACTTGGCTTGCATCTCACTTTCAGCATTGCAGCTTAGCTGGTGGCAATTTTGGCAAACAACTTGGAACCAGTCAGAACCCTACCGTGGGGCTACCCAGACTTGAAAATGCTAGTGTTGTTTACTATTTTCTTCTTACACTTTCCAGCTGTATGACCTTAGGTGAGTCAATAAACCTCTTTGAGCCTCCAGTTTCTTTTCTATAAGATTATGGTACAAAAAACAAAACAAAGATTATAGTACAATTTCTTGAACACATAATTCAGTCTCATTTAATTTGCAACAGCATCTCTGAATTAGGACTCCCACCCTTTGCAACCCAAGGAAACCTAATATCAGATAGATTAAGTAACTTGCCATAGATCTCATGGTTACTTGGAGTTAGACCCAATATTCAAACCTCTGACTCCAAAGCCCATTCATTTTGCTCTGCTATTTCCAAATGGAGCTCTTCTTCCTCACCTTATGGGATGAAGTAAATGTTAGAGATAATATATGTGAAGTCCTAGTCCTGATAAGAGGAGCTGTTAGAGATAAGCTTTCATTCATTCACCAATGATTTATTGTGCACCTATTATGTGTCAGACCCTGTTTTGAGCACCAGGGCTATGGTAGGAACCAAGACCAATGCTTTTCTCTGATCCTTTTGATCCCTCTCTGATGGTAGAAAGAGATCCTAAACAAATCCAAAACAAATCAGACAGTATCAGGTGATACTAGTGAGGTCATGACTGGAGAGTCACTTGATTCCATGTGCTGGGGAGAATGGTCTTCCTGTCCCATCCAGGTCATGTAGGGGCCCATAGGCAGAAAAAGTGGTTCAGTATAGAGGAAACACATGGGCTTCAGTCCTGAATCTACCACACTTTAAAACAGCTTATTGTGGGCAGGTCACTTATACTTTCTGAACTTTAGTTTCCTTTTAGATAAAATGGGGGTGCTGGTCCCCCTGCCTGGCAAAATTAGCATGAGAACGAAACAGGATACTGAAAACAGAACACCCGGCCTTGTGCCTGGCATGCAGTGGCCCTCAGTAAAGAAGAGCTGCCCTGCTTATTACTCCACACGCTGAAAGAGCTGTACTGTCATTGGAATAAGCTACCTGGGATACCATCACAACCACCACAAACTAACCCTATGCCTTTGTTCCTTCTCAAATCACAGGTCACCAAAAACAGTGGCATCACCTCTGGGCCAGATTCCCGTGCAAAGGCAACCCATTCAGAAAGACTCAACCACCTTGGAAAACTAAAGGTGTTTCTGTCCAGCAACCCAGGTTGAACCAGCCATGAGCCAGCTTCCTGTTACTATGGTCAGCCCTTGGCTCCCTCTTCCTCCTTTCTTACACCTGGAGAATACACAGGCCTAAGGCAGGAGTAGACCATAGACAGCCTCTGATTGGCCCAGGCAAATCTACTTCTCCTCCTCCCCTTTGGAATCGGCCCTGTAGGTCAGGGTAAGGGAAGCAGAGATGTTGACAGGACTTGGGATTTCCCAGGGTGGTAATTTGGAGGATGACCTTTCCCCTTTGTCAGCCCCTCCGGGTCGTATGTCATGAGACCCCAGGCCTGTCTTTCCACTAGAGGTCACTTTTGGACCACTCCCTGCACTTAAAGAACAGAGGTCTCCCTAAGCGCTAGGCATCTCCAGTGAAACCCGAAATTTTCACTCTAGGCCTTGGCCTGGGTAGGAAAGGACAGATGGAAGTGGCTGCCACACGGAGGCTTGGAGTTCATGTGACACTTCCCGCCCCCCAAAGAGCGTGAGCTTTCCTGAGCCTAGTATCCAATGCTGGCCAGTTGTCCAGATTCCTGCCCACTGTGAAGTCTCCTCCTGGAGCAGTGACACAGTCCTGGCAGAGCACTGCTATCCCTCTTTCCCCTTCTCCACAGTTCCTGAATGGTGCTAAGGACATGCAGCAACTGGGGACAAGCTAGAGCCAAAGGAGGCCTCAGTGCCCAGTGGGATCACAGAAAATGCCAACAGAGGCCTTTCCCCTCCTCCATCAGAGGTGCTCTGGCACAGGGTCATGTGGGAAGGTCCCCACGTAAAAATTTCCTGGGTGGCTTTCTCCCTTTAAAGGGAAACTGCCCTCACGCCAGCTGGCTCCGAGGTTGACCGCTGTCCTTCGGCCCTACTGGTCCTCTTGTTCCCCTTGCGCAGTGGACCATCCTCCCAGGCTGCTGTGGTGCTAGTCCTCCCCCATCGTCCACTAGGAGATTCTGGAGACCAAGGAGCAAGATGGACCCTTAGAGGAATAGAAGAGAGAGCTGGTGTAAGCTTCTGCAGTGAGGAAACAGCTATGTCCCCGACCCCAAATGTAGGTTTCTACAACACTGCTGTGCTTTATGGCCTGGGACTTCACTGGGAGTGGACTTTACCTCATAGCTTTCAAACAGGAATTCCATGGAGGGTCACCTTCTGGGTCCCTTCTCACTGGGTCAGAGAAGTCCACAGCTGCTCTCATGGGCTCCTCCCTCCACTCCCTGTCCCTTCGCCTGTAAATGCCTTTGTGTATTTGTGTGTGTGTGTGTGTGTGTGTGCGCGCGCGCGCGTGCGTGCTTATGCTCTTATCTTTTGGTCACTGAAGCATCTAAATAAAGAATTTCTCCCATAAGCCAGACTGCAACTCAACAGATTTGAGATTTGAATCGTCTATCATGTGTATCTTTACCCTTTGCTCTGTCCCTGCTCAGACTTCAGCACCCTAAGTAGTGATTTTAGGAGCTGGGAGAGAAACAGATATCCAAATTGCTTGGCAGCTCTGTAGAAGTCCTACAGAGTCCAGGTGCCCTAAATTCAATACAAGCTTATCTGCTCCTCTACCTCCCCCTATCCTGGAGGGCCTCACCGAGGTCTCTAGAAGGTTTAAGCTGGGAGTCTACTTTGTCTGAGATGATCGTGTGGCTGCTATGTGAGAAGGAATTCGGGGGAGCAGGAAAGGAGATGTACAGGGAGGCCAAAATGGACGTGGTGTCCAGTTTGACTCTCTCCAGACTAGCTCCTTCAGGGCAGAGACCTAGTGTCATTCATCTCCATTCCTCTGATGGACTGAGTGGTTGGTTTGTCATGCAGTGTTTGTTGAATGAAAGAATGAATGAATGAGGACACATAAGAAGAGATGGGCTTTTCCTGCTCAGCTCATTCATAGCAGCAGGCTGGTTCCATGGAACTTGTGATTCTTGGGAAAACCTTCTCCATGACCCAGAAGTGAGCTGGGAAAGGAGTGTATGCAATGACTTCAGCAGCCTTTTTTGCTTCAGACAGCCAGATCTGAGCAAGGTGCCCAGGCGGCCTGAACTCCTATTCTTCACTCAGCAAACTGTTCTTGGGAACCTGCTCTTCACCAACTGGGAAAGGCCCTACACAGCTCTCAGCTTCCAAAGCCTAGACTGCTTTAGCAGTTTTCCCAGAGTCCTTCTACCCCAACCAAGATGTCATGATCAGCCCCACCTACCAGGCAAGGAAGCAAAGGGCAGAGAGGTGAGTGAGCTGCCAGAGTATGAGCCCTTGGCCTGCAGGATTTCTTAGTCAGGATTCAAGAGTCCTACGAGCTGTGTGCCCAGCCCTGTTGGCCTGGGGATGCAGGAATGAAAATTCTCTTAGAGCCCTTGGGTAGCTCATACAGTCAAAGATCATTATGGTGATAGAGGGTTATACAGCATGCTCTGGGAATGCACAAAGATGCAGGCACTAACTCAGCCAAGGATATGAAAACACTGAAGAAACTGTGAAACTAGCATTTGATCTCTGTAACAACCTTTTGAGCTAGGAGATGATACTCCGTTTTATAGAAAAATAACAAGGTTCAAAAAGGTATAGCGATTTGCCTAAGGTCCCACTGCTAAGAGCAAAATGGAGTGTAGAATCTGGTTCTCTAGATTCCTTGTCTTTACAAACAAGGACCAGAGTACTTCCCCCATAACCCCTGGGCCTGTCTCACTCATCTGGCAGGGCCACGGTCTCACAGAGTGAGTAGCCACTTGGCAGGAGCGGCAGCGGCACCATCAAAATGAGATTGGACAAGGCTCTATGGTTATTTTATAATCCCAACCCCTTTCCCTTCTCATAATTTTACCCAAGATTCCTGGTGTATTAGACTCTAGTTGTAACTGTAAGAAACTTAAAGTGATTATCTAAAAGAGGAAATTTATTGATTCTCCGGATGAAACAACCTTGTACAGGGATGGCTAGATTCAGGTTCTGACACAGTCATCTCACTGGTTTGCTCTGTGTGGCCTCTTTCCTGGGCAGACTTTTTCTAGAAGGTGGAGACAGCCTCTGGCAGCTTCAGGTTTATATCCTAATAGGTTGGTAACTGCAATGGAAAGAACATCTTTTTCTTGGTACCAGTAAAAAATGCTAGGATTGACTCATTAGCCCATCTGGATCTGTTCCCATCCCTAAACCAGTCGCTGCAGCTAGGAAAAATGGTCCTCTGGGCACCTGGAAAGGAGTGAGTCCCACCTACAACACACTGACCGAAAGAGGGAGAGATGTGCTTGCGTCAAAGAAGAAAGTGCAGAGCTCCCTCCGTCCCAAGGGAGAAGAGTGGATGTGAAGGGCAAAAATAACTGTTGTTGTCAGCCATATTCAGAGATTATCTTTGCTTGATCATTGCTTTTCTAATGTTTTGAGATACAGCATACATTCAATAATGTGAGACAAATTTTTTAGAGTACAGTTTGATGAGGATAGTGTATCCATATGGTCAGTCGGCCTCCAGATCAAGATAGAAAACATCACCAGTCCCCAGAGGCTGGCCTTGTTTCCCTTCCTAGTCAGTATCCCACAGAAGCAAACACTATCTTGACCTGTCTCACCATAGATTTGTTTTGCTTGCCCTTCAATTTTATAAAAAAGGATTCATCCATGTATCCACTTGTGTTCAATGTTATGTATATGAGATTCATCCATGTTATTGTGTGTATCAGAAGTTCATTTAAAAAAAAGTTTACTTCCTGCTGTATAGTAGTCCATTATATGAATATACCATAGTTTACCCATTCTACTGCTAATGGACAATTGGGTTTCTAGTTTTGAACTATTGTAAATAAAGCCACTATAAAAAAATTTTGTTATGTGTCATTTGGTGTGCACATGCGTGCATACACTCGGGAGTAGAATTGCTGCATCATAGGGTAGGTGCATGTTTAGCTGGACTAGATAATGCTAAATGCTTTCCAGAGTGGTTCTACCAACTCACATTCCCACCTGCAGTGAAGAGTTCCTGCTCCACATCCTTGTCAGCACTTGGTATTGTTCATCTTTCTAATTGACCATTCTGATGGCATCCAGGAATTTGAACCCAAGAGTCTTATCTTTTCATCAATGATCCTCTTACTCTGAGCACCCCTGAGATCAGGTTTGAATTTCTGTAGCCTGGAATATTCTCCAGTGTGGCCCAGGACCCACAATACACAGCCCAGCAGATAAATTAGAGGGAGCTCCTGCCCATGACTCTGCTGGCCAAGGAAGTTATGGAAGAAGCAGTATCAGCCCTGGAGAGGCAGCCTAGTGAAGCAACAAAGAACTCGGGCTCTGGGACTTCCCTGGAGGTCCCATGGTTAAGATTTCGCTTCCACTGCAGGGGGCACGGGTTTGATCCCTGGTTAGGTAAGATCCTGCATCCCACGTAACGCAGCAAAGGGGAAACAGAAGAACAAAAGTACCTATTAAGAAAAGAGCTCAGGCTCCAGAATGGTAAAATGTTAGTACTCACTTTATAGGGTCATTTAAAAGAATATATGTGTGCTAAGTCACTTCAGTTGTGTATGACTCTTTGCGACCCTATGGATCGTAGCCTGCCAGGTTACTCTGTACATGGGGTTCTCCAGGCAAGAATACTGGAGTGGGTTGTCATTCCCTTTTCCAGGGGATCTTCCCAATCTAGGGATCGAACCCAAGTCTCTTGAGTCTCCTGCATTGGCAGGCAGGTTGTTTATCACTAATGCCACCTGGAAAGCCCAAAAGAAAAGATACATATGAAAAAATTACAATGATTGACACATGATAGATGCTATGTGAATGATGACTATTGTTTCTATCATTGGCCAGAATTAAGCTCTGGGTCTCCCTGGGGAGGAAAGTCTATAGGCAGATGGTATCTGGCTCAGCCCCGTGTATTAAGACTCAGTGATTTATGAAATGTCAGAAACCTATTTCAATCTGATTAAGGAAAGAAAAAGAGACAACATTCTGGCCAAAGATGATTCTCCCCTGGGCTCTAGCAAGAAGTCATTTTCCACTGATATGGAACCTCAACCTATTGCTGCACCTCAAGCCCTACAGTCAATGACATCTGAAGAGAAGATAAAATGGAATCATGCAGGTAAAGCCCTTAGCTCAGAACTGGATGCACCAACCACTCAGTGCAGACATAGGGCTGTGTATGTGCCAGTAGCTATATGATTCTGGATCTCTGGGCATTGGTCTGAGCCCTACCACCAGCTTCATGTGACCTGAGGCCTTGATATTTTCTTGTGAAGTAGAAATTAGAAGAAATCATAGTTCTCAGCCAGAGTTCTAAAGAGGTAGTGACGGGCAGGGATTCTTCCAAGAAACAGTAAAAAAGAAAGCCCTTCCCTTACAACAGCCCCCGTCAGATGAGCTGTTCCAACCCCTAACCAGGTCTTCTGATGGGCAGCCAATAGTGTCAAAGAGGAAAAACAACTTCTCCCTCTCACCATCTGTCCACCTAATAACCTCACCTACTCTGCTTTGTGTCAAGCCCACATTACAGACGGGGCAGACACAACCCTGCTCTAGCACTCCCAAGCTTGCTGTTCTCCACAAATGCTGCTTCCATCCATCCAGGAGCTTCAAAACCAGCAAGAAATCTTACGGTTCTGTAAAAAGGTCAACTCTGTAGTGCAATGACCCCACTGGCCACTAGGTGGAGAAAGCTCCTTTTTTTTTGCTGGACAAAGCAGACTAGTCTCAGGACCTTACAGTCTGATTTAATGCCAAAGAGAACAGAATGACTTTTTCTGAGCCCCTGTATTTGATATTTCATTTAACCCTCAAGACAATTTGAAAAGGTTCATTTTTAACAGGAGAAATACAGAGGCAAACTCTTGCAAAGCTTACACAACTAAGACATAGTGTGTAGAGATATGACCCCCATGATCCCAAGTTTTAGCACAACTTACCAGGTGTCCCTCTGGGGATAACTCTGAGGGTTGTAATTTAGTCACTTGCCTGGGAGTACACCTGATGTCTAGCCTCTCATCAGCCTTTTTTAAAAAACTCTCTTCACTTGAGTGATGTCTCTGCTCCATTCTTTAGACCCTGTGGTTCTGAGGTTCCAGGGGTGAACCTGTGACCTAAACATGGGCAATCAGAATCATAAGTCTGGAGCTGTCAGCAGTCATCTTTGCCAATATATAAGGATAGTCTGCCTGATAATTAAGCCAACATAGGGCTTCCCTGGTGGCTCAGACGGTAAAGCATCTGCTTGCAATGCGGGAGACCCAGGTTCAATCCCTGAGTCGGGAAGATCCCTTGGAAAAGAGAATGACAACCCATTCTAGTATTCTTGCCTGGAGAATCCCATGGCCAGAGGAGCCTGGCGGGCTACAATCCATGGGGTGGCAAAGAGTTGGACACGACTGAGTG